CAATCCTATTACACACACACAATACTGTCAAATTAAACTTCAATAACATCAACTTGAAGTCGAGTTGAGTTGAGCACTTGGTAACAATCCCAGGGGTTGCGCCGACCCCTCGTGTGGAGAAAAGAGTATCTCGCAGGAGGCTGTAGAAGAGAGCTCCTTTACTGTTACCAATGGCGTTTGTTTTATACTATCCTATTGAGTCTAATAGGGTGAAATAACCATGAAATAACGTAATTGAAACGGAAAGTGGATTTCGAAATAATATGCTCATAAGCACATGTACATTATTATATAAAAAATAAGTGAAAAAAAGAAAGACGCGAAACCCCATCAAAAACACACCGTTTAAAAATATTCGCCAAACTTAGAGGACTTACGAAAACCAAAAAGTTTCGGCAAGTTAAATATTTTGAAAACTAAACGCTTTTAACCAGATGTTCTTTGCTTGCAATTCAGTTAGTTGTAAACAGCGCTTACTTCTTTTTGTTAATATTTTAACATATTCTAATATATATATATATATGACAAAGTTTCAATAAACCTTATATTTGTAACCAAGATTACACACAGAGTACATCAGGATTTTAAGTTTTCAAGATATCTTTGGCAAAAATATGCTATTCCACAACGTTGGATGGCTGAATGTGTTTTGTATGTTTTCTTTCTTCATTATTGGGTTACGCATAGCTTGTACTTTTACATATAATATCTTTGATTGTATTTATTCTTTATGAAGAATGGCACAGAAAGTCGATATTATTTCAAAAAGTCTAGGCACCTAGCGGTATGCCTACATCAATGAAGTTACCGTATTCGTTTTAATTCGCGTGTCCGCTTCTTTCTTCCGACTTTACTTCAAATTTTGGTTGATAATTGTAAAGAGAGATTGTAGGATCTTTTGAATGTGAATATTACTGCATCCAACTACGTAGTAATCCTGATCCTGTTAGCTTCAATCCTTCTTGGTTATTGCATCACTTGACGTCAAGTTATTATCCACCATTGTTTTTGTTAGGCTACTATCAGTAACTCGCGAATTAGCCACCAGGGCCGAGTCACAGTCCACTATTCTAGCTTATAATGTAAACTGATAACAAATCACATGGCTATGTAGTTATGTAAAATAATCAGGAACTGTGAAAAGACAAAGAGCTATTAGTTTAGGCTATAATGGTTTGTTTGTTTGTTTTTTGAATTTCACACAAAGCTGCACGAGGGTTATCTGCGCTAACCATCTCTAATTTAGGGGTGTAAGACTAGAGGGAAGGCAATTAGTCATCACCACCCACTGCCAACTCTTGGGCTACTATTTTACCCACAAATAGTGAGATTGACCATAACATTATAACGCCCCCACGGCTGAAAGGGCGAGCACGTTTTGGTATGACGGGGATTCGAACGACATTCAGATTACGAGTCGAGCGCCCTAACCATTTGGCCATGCCGGACCGGTTATAATGGTAAAATAACCTACATGAGTAACAGAATAACACTGTATAATTATTAATTAGGGTGATCAGATTTCCAAACCCGAATCTAATTTTCAAAATGGTTATTTCAAATTTGAAATAATTTAACTTTAATTTTCTTTAAATTTATTGAATTGTTACACAGCATTCCCAAAGATATTAACATTGGCTTTATTTTTTCATTGAAACATTTAGTACATGCTAGTGTGAGGTGGGTTTTGACGCTGAGCGCTGCCTTAACTGTTTCTACATTCACACCTGCGCAGACCTGGGTTTCTCACTATACACAGACGGAACTTTCGAGAGGGTTTGGCGGTAGGAGAGTAGGTGCTACAACAATGAACAAGTCACGTAGGCCTATTACATTCGTGATTCGATGTGATTAACAGTTTGATGTCTTTATAAAAAAAACAGGAAGTTTTGTGCGTCCCGAGAACTTTTATCGGGACACTGGGACAAACTACCAAAAAACGGGACTTTCCAAGCAAAACCGGGACGTTTGGTTACCCTGTGCATAATAATACAGTTATACATATAGTTTGGAAGTTATTTTTTTACCAATTGTTTAGGAAAGCCCCATCAATGAACACGTTAGCATTGTCACTGATGTATTTTAATAATACACGCCAGTCGGTTAAATAATCCCTCCTGTTCAATAAATAAACAATTGGCAGGATTTACTCCACGTTGAAATTTATCAAATGAATACTTCAGGTAACTTTACTGTAGCCATCGTCAAGCTGGACTGAATTTTTATCCAATTTAATCAGATGATGGCTAAAGTCAAACCGAAAGTTTGCATTGAATAAATTTCAACGCGGACTAAAATCTGACCTCTATCTAGTTATTTAATGTTTCTCACTCACGTTATGAGCCTCAAATATATATAATCACTTTTATGCTGAAAATCAAAAGATCAGTTGGTTTCCGATCTGTAATTATTTTATTTAAATTCAAATGAGCTGATTTCTGTAAAGTTTAACTGCAGAAAATAGTGTTGCGTCAGCGAGGTCACATGACTA